CAGGTGGCTCTGAACCTGCTTAGGCTTGGGGCAAAGAATGATGGAGGTTGACGACAGGTTTATATTCTGATGATCAGCGGGCTGCTATTACGTGGAGCAATTCCGGATATGTTTCGCACCCGCTACGTTCCGCGCATGGAACGGGAGCGGCTTGCTCAGGAGTTTTTGACATTGAGACAGGATGGGGAGTCTGTGATGGAGATTACCCGGATGTTTCACTGAGAGGGCTAATGTTTTACCGGAGTTGCGTCAGAGCAGTCTCAGATGACTCGTTATCTGAGTATGCTCAAGACGATATACGACAGTTTGTGGCTACACAGCTTGTGGACCCTCCTGGACTACAGGAAGCCGCGGGGCGGGGTGTGGATAGAGCGGCATGATTGGAGATAGAGCTGCATCTGAAGGAGCAGCGTCAGGCACCGGCACAGTCCTCAGCCGGCGCCTAAGCGGTCTAAGACCGCTGATACTCGATCTGGGAGTCAGCAAGCCGCACGTGTGGAAAGTGTGGCAGGGTCATTCGGGAGTTTTTGTCGAGCGGGAGGTGGGTGCCACAAATAGGGCAAGGAGGGCACTACGCCAGGGACTGCCGTCAGTCCCCCCTCCAGCAGATATGAGGATTTGTTTACCATTGTTCATCAGGTTGGTCATGTGAAGACCAACTGTCCGCAGTTCGCCGCCAAGCCGGCGCTGGGTTCCGCGCCAGCTACTGTGAGGATTGGAGAGGGGAGGCCAGTCAAGGTGGAGCCTCCGAAGGCTCAGGGTCGCGCCTTCCAGCTCACGACCGAGGAGGCCAAGGCAGCACCAGATGTGGTTGCTGGTACGTTTCTTTTCTCTGTCTCAGTTATTGTATTGGTGTTATGCTTATTAATTGTACCTGTGGTTAGGTACGTTTTTAGTGAATTCTTTGCCCGCTTTGGTATTATTTGACTCGGGGGCGAGTCGGTCGTTTGTATCTCAGACCTTCTCTAGAGGGTTCAGTGTGCCGATAGATGATCTTGAGTGTCCGTTGCGAGTTTCGATCGCCAACGAGCACGGGGTTTCTGCTTCTTTGGTCTACCGGGGATGCGAGTTGGAGATTTTCGGGGTGTCCTTCCCGATAGTTGACCTACTCGTCGAGTAGCAGCGGGGTGGGATCACGTGTTAAGTGACCTACTCGACGAGTCCATGTTGGGACTCGGCGAGTAGGAGCTGGCAGATGAAACCCTAAATCTCGGGGTTTACACCTCTATTTAAAGGAGCCTCAGCCTCCTTTGGCCTCTTTGCAGTCTTTGAGAGCTCCTTAAAACCCTAATACGCGTGTGTGTGTGTGCCCATTGTGTGTTTTAAGCTTGAAAAGAGGATCTTTGGAGGGAGAAGGCTTGGAGGAGAAGGAGATTGGAGCAAGTAGAGTGTGGGAATCAACTCCTATCTCAGTTATCATCTTCTGGAGGTAACCATATCGCCTTTTTCCTTGTGAATCTCTTCTATTGGTTGAGTGTTAGGGTTTTTGGTGAGATATTAAGTTGGAAAGATGAGCTATGGGCTAGATCTGAGGTTGTAACTTCAGATCTGGACCCTCCTTGGATTCTAGAAGCATAAAGTTTTCAGTTTTGGTCACGATTAAGGTCCCTCTTGAGCATGAAGTTCCATTAAGAACTTAAAATAGGCATTTAGAGCCTTTAAAGCCATGCATGCACGTAAAGTTTGCAACTTTACGTGATAAGCATGCCCTAGAAGCTTGGATCTATGATTTGGAGCCGCTGCATGGCTCAGAACAAGTCTGTATGGAAAGAGGACTGAATGGACTCGGCGAGTCGCAAGGTTGACTCGGCGAGTCACATGAAGATGGCCGTGAACTCGACGAGTTGGATGAACAACTCGACGAGTCCGATGAAGATTACCATAAGACTCGACGAGTTGAAGAACAACTCGGCGAGTCGGATGAGTTTTCCCTAGAATATGTATGCGTGTGTATCCGTCGAGTTGCAAGGAGGGAACTCGAAGGATGGCCTTAAAGTTTTAATCGAGAATCGAAGGAACTCGGCGAGTCACCCCGATGACTCGGCGAGTTGGATTGTACTTCAAGGAAATCGGCGAGTAGCCGAGGGTACTCGGCGAGTTGGGGTCAACATGGACTGTTGACCTTGACTGAGGACTTTGACTTTGACCAGGGGGTTGACTGGTGGGTTATGGGATACCTTATAAGGTTAAGGACTTATAAGTATATTGTACTATGATCATAGGTGGTGGAGCCTGTGTCAAGTGATCCGAGAGTTGGAGTGTATCTTCCGAGTCGACATCTGCAAGGTGAGTCATCCTCACTATATCGATAGGGTCTACGGCACCAAGGTCGGCCCTTTAGTTGTTATTGTTGTGGTATGTTGCATGTGGTTATGATCTGCTAGATCGGAATCAGGGTAGACAGTATGTTATGCTATTATGATTCGTAAGGATTGGTATGTTAGTGACCTGTTGGGTCGGTACTCTAGTTACGAGAGAATTCTATGATTGATGATCAGTGTGATAGATATGTTTGATGCTTGTATATGCCAGTATATAATAGTTATGCGTACTTGGTTATTTGCTTGTTGGTTGGGTTGAGGCGGTCCTGCTTTATGCTGTAGGCCATCATACCCTATGAGCGGTCTGGGGAGACTGCAGGCCCACGTGGCAGACTAGTCATGCCGAAGGCTCGAGATAGATTCAGATAGACTGTAGGCCCAGTAGGGCGGTCCAGTCAGGCCGATGGCCCAGTATGCATGTTGATTGATTGATTGTTACTGATATGGCATTGTCAGTGTGGTATTGGTATTTTGGGGGTAGCTCACTAAGCCCTCGAGCTTACAGTTTTCAGTTTGTTGTTTCAGGTACTTCAGGAGATCATGGCAAGGCGAAGGCGTGACCGTACCGCTCCTCATCCTTATGTTATGATTTTGGGACACTCGATGATGGATATTGATTTGAAAACATTTGTAAACGATGCTATTTTGATTTTTATTTATGATCGAAAAAGTTTAAATTTGGCGTAAAATTTATAGATGTTACATGACCTTAGGTGAAGAAATCGAAGATCTACCTGCGATGAAAGCTCTGATCTAACGGTGCGAAGATTTTTTTTTGGAGAAGTTGGAGAAGATGAATTCAGAGAGAGAGAGAGAGAAACCCGATGGTGTAGTAATCGTCGGCGGTCCATTCGTCACAATATATCTTCCGACGACATTGGATGTGGATTCCGGTGATGTGGTTTCAAACGCAAATAAGAGAGAGAGGGTGATGTTTCAGACTTTGAGTAACGTGGTGAAGGGGATGAGTAGGTACCTACATGTATTTATTTATTTAAATTCTTTTTTCTAATTAGATAATACTAATAAATGAAAAAAAAATGGAAAAGGGCATTATCGTCTTTTTAATGTGTGACAGGGATGAAAGACGTAACAAAACCATAACCTAGGGACGATCTGAGTACAAAAAAAAATTTAGGGACCAAACTAGTAGTTTTATCCAAACCATAGGGACGATCTCAGTAATTTGTTCTATTTCAAAATCAAAAACTCGATAAATGTCGGGCGGGAGTGGAGACGGGATCTCTGGCTGGATCTTTGTTGCTTGCCACCGAACAGACTTTTGGATCCTTTTATGAAGCACCATTTCAACATACGAGATGAGTACGGTAGTCAAACTAGCTGAAAAGTAAATATGATCAAATAAGGTTCTTGTACAAGTAATTAAATAAATTTAATATTTTTCCGGGTATTTTACTTATCATTAATCTGCGTTCATCGAAAGTCCGTTGAATGTAGTCACAAATTGCCTTGTTAAGCATTATTATTAGTACATTGCGTTGATTTACCGATAACAAAAAAAAATTTAGGGAACATCAATGTTGACTACATTCCAACGGATGTTAGGGAAATATAGGCTCTTGCCCATTTCACATGACCGATGCTGGCAAGCACTTCACAAGCATCAGGGGTCATCTGACAAAGTTTTCTTCAAAATCAGACACAATATATGAGTTCGATGTCATCCAGAACAAAGGTTGTAATGTTCTGCCAGAGACCCCTCTTTTGTGCATATACTTGAACACACTTTTAGAAGTATACCCATGATAAGAATTAGGGAATACATGCTCTATGCAAGAACTAACAACATCGTCCTATTTGTTATGAATGATACTTCCCGACCTTGTCTCAGAGCTTCTCTTAACCTCATAAGGAACCAGGTACAACAATAAAGATTATTCTTCACGGCCAGACCAAATGTTATAGAGAGGGCCTGGTTGTTCCCGTCAATAGCAACCGCTACAAACATTGTTTTTAGGTAGTCCCCTCTAAGAGGGACACTGCCTATGAAGATCACATGCAATAAGCAACCTATGAATGCATGGAGCTGTCTTTTTTGGAAACAAAAACAACTTAATTTAGATGTAGAAACATTATCAATTTTAAAAAAAAACAATAGAAAAATACAGAAAACAAATATACCCCCATCCAATAGCCACAAAACAAGCTTCGAAACGATCCATCAAATCAGTTTTGATGTAAGTGTAAGTATGCGTGGTAGTTCGCCTAAGGTTGTGAAGGTAAACAAACAGGTTGTTAAAACTTTTTTCGTGCCGACTCTCTGAGAAACTCATTTTGAAGCAGTTTTATAAAAGATAATTACAAATTACTTGGTTGAAGGTAAGGTTCTAAGCACATATTGACATGTGTATATATATAAAAGAGATGATAAAAAACTGAGGTCATAATCCGAAGTAGGAACTCCAGAATATGTACTCTGGAACGGAGACCACAACTCCGGAATGCTATGTTCCGGAGCGAGTGGTAATTTTACCAAAAAAAATGTTGGTTATTTTTGTTAAAATTTTCGTTTATAAGGGTTACATTCAATTTTCCAAAAAAAAAAAAAACATATGTATGATTAAATGGCTTAACAAAGCAAAGTATATTGATTTATTTTTGTATTTGTCTTGTGTATTATTTCAAAATTTTATAATAAATAAACAATTAGAAGAAAGAAAAAAAGGAAGCCTTTTTATCAGAAGAATCCGTAAACCATTATTTTCTTACCCATTCTCTTCGTCTCCAACATCTCATCAGGATGTTATCGTCAGTAGGGATGATATGCAGCTGCTCTTACAAACCCTCTACTCCAACAAGTTTCCATGGTGACTCACTCCCTTCCAACCCCCACACCTTTAATTTCAACCTACCCAAGCTCTCTGCTCACCCTAAACTTATCCATGGTTCCACAACATTTCGGAACCGCGCTCCTGCTATAGCGGCGGCAGCGGAAACAATTGCAACAGAAACGCCCCTAGAATCTGAGGTTTTAGTTCATCTCTATATTTATCTCTTCAATTTCTATCTAATGCTGTGTTCCTTAATTGTCTGCAAATTAGGGCTCCACTGGGAGAAAAAAATTACGTAAAACCTATCTGTTTCAAACCTACTACTTTACGAAATGCAAATCGATATGATGTTTGTTAATTGTTACTAGAATTTTATTCAAAAAGTCAATAACTCGAATATGAAAGCTAAAAATTGTATTCAAAAAGACAAAATCAGGCTTATTGATACTTTTTTGAATTGAATTGGGTGAAATTGTAGAAGCTGGGAGTGGTTGTGAAACCGATGGAGAAACCAAGGTTAGTGTTGAAGTTCATCTGGATGGAGAAAAACATCGGTTTAGCACTAGACCAAGTGATTCCAGGATACGGGAGTATTCCAGTAAGTCCTTACTATTTTTGGCCAAGGAAAGATGCTTGGGAAGAGCTTAAAGTGATGCTCGAGAGTAAGCCATGGATTTCTCAAAAGCAGGTGATTATTCTTCTTAATCAAGCTACTGATATCATTAACTTGTGGCAGCAGAGTGGTGGTGATATACAGTAAGTTCTTGTGAATTCTTTAGATATGTTGTAGATTGTGGCGACTTGTTGCAGGTTGATAGAGATGATTGCCATTTAAGTTGTGTGTGTATTTTTCTTGGTTTATTGGCATCTACTCCTGTTTCTTAATTCAATACACTGCTTTTTCTTTCTGTTACCCCTTTGTTTTGATGAAATACAATACCTAGAGAAATGTTTTACCTATTCATTTTGGTCATTTATATGTTCATTTTATCGGTCTCGATCATTTGTATGAGGTTAATCCGTTAATACAAGATGTGGGTGATGGCTCTGTTGTCTTCATAGGAGTCCACTTCCACATAAGAGTATTTGGTTACCAAGCATAGCTGATTTTGTTATGAATTTATTCCACCATCTATAAACCTTTTTTCTATATATTCACGGATTTGGTTACCAACGCCACCACGTGGTGGCAGGGACCAAGGTTTGGTTTTGGTGGGTTGAGCGGGTTGGCTAGCTCGACCCCCCACACTCCTCTCTTTTCTCCACTTTTACCATATGCATTAAAGCTTGTACTAAAATGTGTGGTTTGAGAAAGATGAATTTCCATGTGTCGGGGGATGGGAGAGATGAAAGTGTGAGGAGAAATAAGATGCTGTTTGGTTCGCAAAATAAATGTTTATGAAAGAATTGGAATCGGAAAAAGAATCAATTTAATATCCTATTTGGTTGATAGAAAATGAAATTTGAATCCAATTTCATTTCGTTTGGTTCGTAGGAAATGAAATTGAAATCCAAGTAAAATAACAAAATTGTCATTTTTTTATCTGCTTTGTTTAATTTTACTTTGTTTTCTAACTTATATGTCAATATATTACCAAAGTCATGTTAATAAACTTCATAACTTAAAGTCATTCAACTTCACATCCCAATAACGTTACCAAAAAGCAAAACAAACTTTCGATACATCCCAATCGAATCGAAGATACAAAAAGCTTACAAATCCAAGATACCAATCAACATCCTAATAAATATCCCAAAAAAACTTAAAAATCCAAAATACAAATTAACATCTAAAACATTGTCAATCTCTTTCCATGGTTTTTATATTCGACTCAATACTCAATACGTGGCTTACCTAAGGAAGTGATTGTTTCAATGCTTGCTCAAGGTGTTGTAAATAACTTGATGTAAAACCATTACCGGGTTTAAATCCAACATTTGTCATATTCACCAACACTTCAACTAGTTTTGCTTCTTCATTATTTGTCCATGTCTTATAATTTCTAATTTGATTTGTCATATCTATAAACATAACAAAAAATCATACCTATAAACATAACAAAAACCAATAGATAAGTATCACAATTAATTTTAGAAATGGAACAATTTTTCCATAAAAACATAAGCAAGCAACAATTTTTCCAACACAATGATAAGCAAGCAACAATTTTCCAACATAACTACGATCGAGCAACATTACGCAACATTATGAGCACGGACATGTAGAAACATGACAACTTGTTTATCGATATCCATATTCCTACTTCATTTTAGGCCTCCAAATGTTTCAAGAATATGCCATAACTTTTTAAAACATGTTCTAGACATCCTAATTTGTGATATAGATTGTGTCATTCTCATAAACTATTTCATGTGGTATTAAGTATGGATCTACATTTGAATAAATACGCTTAATATGTCGTTTATCTATATGGTTTTTGATCACTAACAAGATGACTACAACAATGTGTAAAACCATGTTCCTCCGTGTAGAACAGATAAAATGAGGGCTGATTGCGTCATGAGATATGGAGAACAGATGCGATTTAAACTTCATCGGAGGAACCGTTGAAACGAGGATAAGGAGTCGGATGTGGAACAGAGAAGACGATGGTTGATTGCGTCATGAGATATGGAGAACAGATGTGTTAGTTGCAACATAGAAACAATGATAGGGTTATGTTGTGAAATATAACAGAAGTAATAAGGTAAAATGCTAGTTTCTTTTAGCATAGAATTAATTCCATCATCTTTTGGAAGGAAAGTGTTTCCCCTGTTTGATGGAATGTTTTTTCATTTAGGATTTTAATTCCGTCATACAAAGTTGAACCAAAATTGGATACTATTTTCCCCGAATTTCATACAATTCCAACCAACCAAACACATATTTAGGTTAGGAGGGATGGACTCCCTCCACCCTAAGGATGCACATAGTCGTACGTGTAGGGGGCGGGTACGACTGGCTGGCCAAGCGGTACCGTATTTGTGTGTGTTGGACGGTTTGCCTAACTCGTTGCTCTCTCTCTCTCTCTCTCTCTCATTGTGATAGATGCATAAAAAGTTGTACCAAAGTGTGTGGGTTGAGAGAGATGTATTTCCAAGTTTTTAGGGATGGGAATGTTGGAAGTAAGAAGAGAAAGAAATGTTGATGTGGCGTCTATGTGGCATGTGGATTGAGAGGGGTAGTAAAGAACAAGAGCTGCACTCCCTGACTCTTGAGCATTTATAAATGGATCCGACCACTTTATCTATTTATTCACCATATAATTTTTGATGACATATAAGACTATCGATATGGAGGCAACGCCTCTTAGTGTAAAGAGACGCCACATCAACAGTTCCTCTCCATCATGTCCTCGGAGGGGTGGTGCTCACCTCCGCCACTCCATAAATTATTGCACCTTAATCTTGATAATCACAATCGATGCTCTAAAACCTCCATTTTTCTAAAACGCCGGTTCTTTATTTTTGTAAAATCGAAACAACCGTCGAAGCTTAAAAATCTTGTATCAACCCATAAATTCTTGGATCTTAATCTTAATAGTTACAACTATTGCTCTTAACCCCCCCCCCCCCCCCCCCCCCCCCCCCCCCCCCTCCCCCCCCCCCCACCCCCCCCGGTCGTCGTGGCTTCCATGTCCGTTCTTTGTTTTTTAAGTATTCGCTACAACCACTGAAGCTTATAAATCTAGACACCCTATAATTTTTTAGACCACAATCTTGATAATCACAGTGGATACTCTTAAACCCCATTGTCATCTTCCCATATATGTTTGTTCTTTATTTCCGCAAAATTGAAGCAACCATTGAAGCTTAAAATTCTCGGACCTCTCCATAAATTTTTGGACCTCCATCTGAATAATCATAGGGGATTATCTTAAACCCATCTTAATCCCATCACTGTCGACTTCCCTTCCACACCCGTTTGTTATTACTACATAATCGAAGCAACCATTGAAACTTAAAAACTTTGGACCATTTATGGAATTTGACCCACAAACCCACGGATTCAAATCTGACCTACGAACCCCCAACCTATGAACCCGTATAAATAAGTGGGTTAACCGACTGTATATGAGTTTATGTTCCAAACCCGCCAACCCGTGACCTGTATAGTTAAATGGGTCGTATTCGGGTTAGTGTATTTTGACCCGCTAACCCACAAGGCGCCAACCCGAACACGACACGATTTCTAGGCCTAGAAAAATCGACATTATATCATTCAGGCTCCATGGAACACCAACATTCTACCTCTGGCCGAATCAGAGGGGCCATAAAAACCTTTGAACAATTCAGCGTTTACACTCCCTCTGAACCCTTCTATTTCATTCGTTTTCCTTCACTGCCCTCTCTTCTCTTTTGTCGTGACCGGAGTTTTCAACAGAGAAAAAGCCGTAACAACTCCTGTTGCCGTCCTCTGCCTTCTCCGACCGGTGCCGTTCTCTTCGCATCTCCGACCAGAGTTTTTAGCAGAACAAAGAACCTTCCGATCTCTTTGTCACTAGCGCCGTCCTCCTCCGATCTTCGACCAACGCTGTCTTCAACCCTCTAAAGTAAATGAACAGAGCCTCCCGATCTATTTTCTTTCTCTAACAAGATTTTGGTGAACTAAACGCCTCCAGAATTTTTTCTGGCAGACGAAATCCGCTAAAAACCTTGCTAATTTTTCCCTGGCCCGCGAAGCACACATTGAAAGAGCAATATTCGACGCCGTTTCCGGCGTGTGCTATACTGTTTCAATCTCAGCTTAAGACTACTATAATACAACAGCTCTGAATTCTTATAGCAATGGAGAAATCTCGATCACTGTTGATTCTATACGCCACTGAGACGGGCAACGCGTTAGATGCTGCCGAACGATTAGGCCGTGAAGCTGAAAAAAGAGGCTGCCCTATTCGTATGTTATCCCTCGACGAATTTGACCCCGTAAGTGAACTTTATGAAATTATACGCCCCCTTGCTACACTTTCCGATGATTATTTGGTTCCTCTATTTTGTTTATGCAAACAATTTCATAATCAATTTGTTATGTGTTTCTGCTATGCATATTACTTGTTGCTTATACCAGAGCTCCTTACCTTGTGAAGAATATGTAATTTTTGTGGTGTCCACAACTGGACAAGGGGACACCCCCAATTCCATGAAGGTTGGTTCTTTATCACTGCTTTAACTTTCAAACTTTTCATTTGTTATTATTTCTTCTTTCTATTCTTGATTACCCAAATTTAGGCGTTTTGGACATTCCTTTTGCGAAGAAGTTTAAACCAGCAGTGGCTCGAAAAAACAAACTACACAGTATTTGGATTGGGAGACTCTGGTTATCAGAAATACAATGTAAGTTGAATTAGTTATCATGCATGTGATCTTTGTAGATTACATTTGTGAAAAGACTTAAATTGTCATGTAATTACAGTTTGTTGCAAAGAAGCTTGACAAAAGACTTGCAGATCTCGGGGGAACTACAATTCTTGAAAGAGGTTTGGGAGATGATCAACATCCTTCAGGGTATCTGTGCCATTTCCAGTATTTATACAACTTTGTTGCATAATCTTTCTGTATTATATACAATAAATAAATTAAATAAAGTTGCTATGATTTTCTTATACAGATATGAAGGGTCCTTAGATCCATGGATGTCATCTTTATGGACCATGTTATATAATAAAAATCCAAAATTCTTCCCAAAAGGTTTAAATATTTCTGTGTCTGATATGAAGATGCTTGGTCAACCAAAAGTGGAAATCACATATCTTGACTCGAATGCAGTGCATTCACAACCTTCAGCACAAATTGGTAAATAGCCTGTTTATTTTCAAATTTCACTATTTTTCAACCTTCAAAGTTCAGATTTTATTTAACTGTAACTGATTTTTTTTGTGACAGATTTGAAGTTACTTGAGAAGGATATAGTGAGGTGTCGGTCAATGTTGTCCGCGAAAAAGTCAAATGACAAGAGTAAACCCGATTGCTTCTTGAAACTGGTAGTGATGAAATTTCCTGGTATTTTTATATTCTTCTTTTGTTAATTTATAATTTGTACTATTGTTTGATTTAGGTTAAAAATCATCCAATTACTAGAACAAGTTATGACAAAGATGTACGCCATTTGGAATTTGAGCCACTTTCATCTGTAAGTATTATCAAGCTTATATGTATTAGTTGTTTTTTTGGTTAATAATATATAACTGTTTACATAAAAAGAAACCCTCTTAATAAAATTGTTACTAAGTTGCTTTATTCAGACTATCGAGTATGAAGTTGGTGATGTTCTTGAAATTCTTCCTTCACAAAGCCCTGAAGCAATCGATGCATTCATGACTCGCTGTAATTTAAACCCTGAATCCTATATCATTGTGAGTAATGTTTTTAAATAGTTGTAAAATCCATTTATAGCATATAATCTAGACACTAAATTTCAGGTTAAGCCTAGAAATAAAGAAGATTCCTTTGAAGATGGTGTTGGTGCCTCAAAAGATCCCATAAAACTAAAAACATTTGTCGAGTTGACTATGGATATTGCATCAACTTCACCCAGACGTTACTTTTTTGAGGTAAAATATCTGATTAAATCTTTTGGTGTTATTATATGCTACTAATTCTACATTATTTCAACACATACTTGTAACAGATTGATGTATTTTAACTAATAACAAGTTCATTAAGTATGATCAAACAAGGGTGTATGTATGTCATATTGTCATATAATTATAGTAACCAACTCTTTCATTCCATTCCTACACGCCAACAAACGTGAAAACGGAATGCAATGACTCGTTCCATTCCAATATCGTGTAGGTCATGAGTTTTTTTGCAAGTGCCGAACATGAAAAAGAGAGGCTTGAATATTTTGCCTCACCAGAAGGAAGAGATGATTTCTACCAATACAACCAGAAAGAACGAAGGACTGTTTTAGAGGTATATATATTTTGAATTTTATTTTGCCAAAAAAAAAAAAGTTTTTGCATTTATTTTATTTGGTGGTGAAGGAAGGAAGGGCAATATGGTCTTTTTTTACAGGTACTCGAGGATTTCCCATCTGTAGATATGCCATTTGAGTGGTTGGTGCAGCTGACTCCTCCATTGAAAACACGAGCCTTTTCAATTTCTTCTTCTCCTCATGTTCACCCGAATCAAGTACACCTCACAGTCAGCATAGTTTCATGGACAACTCCTTTTAAGAGGAAACGCATCGGTTTATGCTCCAACTGGCTAGCTTCCCTTCATTCTCATCAAAGTATGGAATCAACAATTCCGTTCCATTCCTTTCTCAATTCCATCATACCAAACACCACCTTACTGTTTTTGCTCATTTTTTTCAACAGGAGTCTGCATGCCAGCATGGTTTCACAAAGGCTCACTCCCCGCCCCACACCCCTCACTCCCCCTCATCCTTATTGGGCCCGGAACCGGTTGTGCACCTTTTCGCGGGTTCGTGGAGGAGCGGGCCTTAAACGCAAGTAATTCTGGACCGATTCTTTTCTTTTTTGGATGTCGAAACGAGGATAATGACTTCTTATACAAAGATTTTTGGGTTTCCCATTCGCAAAATGGAGGGGTACTTTCGGAAGAAAAAGGCGGAGGGTTTTATGTTGCTTTTTCAAGAGACCAACCGCAAAAAGTGTATGTACAACATAAGATGCGTGAACAAAGTGGGAAAGTGTGGGAGCTTTTGAGTAAAGGGGCGGCGGTTTATGTTGCGGGGTCTTCGAGTAATATGCCGGCGGATGTTTTGGCGGCTTTTGAGGAGATTGTGGAGAGAGAAAGTGGGGTGGAGAGAGAAGCGGCGGTTAGGTGGTTGAGGATGTTGGAGAGAGGTGGAAAGTACCATGTTGAAGCATGGGCTTAGTGTGCCTGATACAGTATTGTACTATTGTACTGTAATACAAGGAATGGTCGGAATGGTTGGGGAAACTCCCGCTGTATAGCTATTTATGGTTTAAAATTTAAAATTTTGTAGGATTTAGGTCGATTATAAAGGAAAGTGAAGTTTGCACTTTTATTTTGTTATTATATTTTATTATGTGGGTTTATACAATTTGCTATTTTCTTATAAATTTTTATATCAAATTATTGCAAGTAAATTTTATTGGTTGAATGTCTTATTATTGGCTATTTTGTAGCGCCATTGCTTCTCCACATTAAATAAAACATCAAATCTATATGCCCTCTAAAAGATGACTAGGTGAACGTTTCAATTGATGAGTAGTTTCTAGACCAACGACAAAAGATTTGTTAAAACATACACTCGATATATATTGAAGCTTAAATAGCAAAGCAAAGGCCAAGTTAATATTTGCCTTCTCATGTGCTATTTCTCTTCTATATATGTTTTCATCGACTGTATCATAACGAACTGAAATAAATAAATTATCCAACGTTATGAAGAAAAACATAAAAAAACGAAATCTAATGGTTAGATAAGATATATGTGGTGCAAAACCTTCTCGCAAGAAGTGGGTCTTAATCATCTATTCAAGTACTTACAATATTGTTAGTCTTCTAAATGATATTTCTAATTTTGTAGCAGCCATAAGAAGGTGAGAATCAGTAAGATATCTCCTTCCTACACATCAATATGCAAAAAGCTGCAATTCTAAACCAAAAAAAAAATTCTATATATGATACATGGATGAGAAATATGAAAAGACGTCAATGAAATCTCCAAGGAATGCATTGGATATTAGAACAAGATCCATTCCATTTGCTTGTGCATTCGTTCTTAGGAAGATCACAACATTTACATATCATTCCAAGTGTATCGAAACTACTTAGATATTCTGCAAAAGTGACCAAAATAACTTTTATTCAGCATAAGAAATTTTATATAGAAACAATTAGAAACACAGATTCTGGGTTGTAGTGGGTGCTTACTTTGCTGAGGGATGATGGAGAGTGGTCTTGCTTCTGTCATCAGAGGATGAGACTGGTATCTATAACTGGTAATCAAAAGGAACATGAAGAGGAGGGAAGCAGGCTTAATCATCTTTTCTTTTAATTAATACAACGATGCTGGCATATATGATTGGTTTTTGGGTTTGTATATAAACACCAAAAGGTTGATGATTGAAAAGTATGTCTGTCACTCGAGTTGACTATACACAAGGCCGACTTAGTCGTCGATAAATTATTAAAGTAACGATTGAAAGGGATTTAAATGAATATTAAAACATGAGAATCTAGAAGGGTTTGCTGGTTTGGTGTTGATGTGTATTTAAAGCCTATGTGCTTCTAGATATGATTACGAAGGCATGCTTCGTGCGTTTCTTGTCTTTTGCTCTGGGTTTCCATGGAAGTTTCCTAGCATTGGTGCCGCAGTTTTTATATGCGAAATGGGCTTCTAGCCCAGTGGTCAGGTGTTACCCTCCCTCCTTGAGGCTAGGATTCAAATCTAGCAGTGGGTATAGTTGGAATTATCAATAGTTTAGGAGTAGTACAGATTTGTTGTCCCAAAAAAATTGCGACCAACATTTGATGAAGTAAATTACAGTTTTGGTCCATGTTCTTTACATCCATCAGAATTTTTAGTCAAACTTTTCAATTTTACATGACTCGTCCCTATGATTTAATTTTCTTGAAACTTTGGTCCTTTGGGCTAACTTGGTAAGATATAAGCTGTTAAGTTGGAGTAAGATGACTGATGTACCCTCGTTCGGATTTTCATTTATCTTGTCACTTTCTAAATTACAGGGATCAATTTTATAAATGAACAAAAATTAGAAATAAAGCTCTAACACTCGGTTGCAACTCCCATCCATGATACGTTTGTATCTAAACAATCACAACTGCCCATCTCCACCATCATCGAAAACCTCCATCAGCGCATCGCCATCTCTTTGTTGCTACTACAACTTCGGTTTTGAAATAGGCCATAGCTATAAAAAAATTCCCCACATTACATGGATTAAATTTATAAATGAACAAATAATAGAATTAAAGTTGTAACACCCAATTGAAACTCCCATCCATGATACGTTTGTATATGAATGATCATAACTATCTGTCACATCCCCTATTTTTTCACGGCTAGAAAAGACCAGTCTTTGCTTATTATAAAATCAGAGTTTTAATTTACAAATGCGGGATTTGTCCCATAAAATATTCCCGAAGAAATGTTTTTCATTGATTTATTAAAAACTTGGGATGTCATAACTGATATATGAAACATAAGTATAAACGAAGACTTACAATATCTTAATATAGTCTAAAGTTCCTCAAATCTCTCAGGCGTCATCATTATTGTTTCCTGTGATACAAAGACACTGAGTGGGTTAGGTTGGAAAACCTGGTGAGATACATAAGGTTTTCAACCCACAATATTATAAATTTTAATAATTATAACTATCAACATTCGATTAACCTAATTACTCCATTTCTGATCACTCTCACTTACTAATTCTATTATGATGATCTTAAGGGATATTTCCTAAATGATCTTTATCAACGGACAACTATAATTCTTAGGTGATTAGGCACGAAGATATGATAATACTCGTGACAACACGACATTATATTAATACTTTTTGTATGATCACGACAGGCACGACAGTATAAAGTACTTGGGTTTAGCACGACAGTACAAAAGTACTTGAGATAGACACGACTTATTATCTCACATGACTGTCCTATCGCAACCATTATTTCACACAATGTGACAACCCGAAAATTTTTGCTTTGTAAGTCCAGCCATTCAATTCAACCGAGTGTCAGACTCGTTTCTGCTATCTTTTAGCCTTGTTTAGAGTCTGTTTAAGGGTTCAAAGCTCAGTACATTCAAACATTGGGTATATAGGATTGAGCAGCTTAAGTTCATTGGTTTGCAATCGAGCCGGAAACTCCATCACAAGGAGTTTACGACCGCAAACTAGGAGTTTACGGTCGTAAACTCTTGGCTGGCCGTAAACTTCTTCCATATTCATGATATTCCTTCATTTTTCACCACTTCTCACACCTCCAAGTATAGAAAATCGATTCTCTCTCAAATATCATCGAGTTCTTCATCCTAGATCTTCAAAAACGTAAGTGATTCTTCCATCTTTGAGTTGTTATCCTTCTTAATCATGTATCATCCTTTAATTTCATCCATAAAAATCATCTTTTTGGGTAGATCTTCAAGATCTTCATCTTTCACCAAGAACACACACTTGTTCTTGGTGGCCGTGAACACCTTTTTGAGCCTCCAAATTGTAAGTATCCTTTCCCCTATGCTTAGTATACGTTAGAAACTCATGTTAAACACCTTAGAATCGACCATTTAGCAGGAACAAAAGGAGTGTACGGCCGTACACCCTTGCATGGCCGTACACACCTCAAAACACCCCAAAAAGGGCTTCCAAAATGAGAATCTAGTTCATATTCTTGTTGACCATGAGTGTAACGACGTAAATTTTTAAAACAATTTTTCATTTTTCAAACATAATAAATCTCATATAATATTCTCAAAATCTCATGTATCAATGTCATCACAATAAAACATATCCCAGAATCTCAACACAGAATCTTCTGCCAGTGTGTACAATTCATGTCGGCGCCTTCCCGCGACCCTCGCTGATACCTGAAACACATATCACATAACACGGTAAGCATAAATGCTTAGTGAGTTCCTCAAAAATACCACATACAACACATACGCCACTCGAGGCTACAGTACGACCCTCCGGTCGATGTGTCTCAGCGGAACCCTCCAGTCCCGTAGCTCGTTGGACCCTCTGGTCCGGTCATAGCTCGTTGGACCCTTCGGTCCGGTCTGTATCGTTGGACCCTTCGGTCCGGTCTGTATCGTTGGACCCTCCGGTCCGGTCTATACAACACATAGCATACATATAACACAATGCACATAATCTCATATATACACATAGCATACAAGACCCTCCAGTCTACACATAAATACCACTCTAGGTAATGTATAGTGAGAAGACTCACCTCGGCTAGCAGGTGAGCAAATAACCTCGCGCTCGGATCTCGAACTAGTCTCCTCCTAACACAAAGGATGAATATCTCTTATTATTACTCTTCTCACAACTCAGATAATCGAAGGCGGGTCTTTCTCTTTCTAACTCATTAAAGTGGGTAAAAGACCATTTTACCCCCTCCAAGGTCTCCATCACATATGTTGACCAAAACCCCATGGTCAACAGAAGTCAAACTCGAGTCAACAGTCCAAGTTTGACCCGACTCGTCGAGTGCACTCCTGCGACTCGTCGAGTCCCCTCGTATCCTCAGAAGTCTCAAAAGTCCAGCTCAACTCGTCGAGTTGACCCCCAACTCGCCGAGTTATCGCACAATCAATCCATCGGGACAAACCCTGTCGACTCGTCGAGTCAGGTCATGGACTCGGCGAGTCCCTTTGATCTGATTTCTCATTCAGACGATTTCAACCAGATCTATCACTCTAAACTATAGATCTATCATCCCAAGGCTCAATAATTACGTAAAGCTTCGATCTTTACGTTCATACATGATGCTATTGCTTCAAAACGCCAATACATGCTCTTCATGAAGGTTTTTGCTCATCAACCCTCATTTGGACCACTAAAGCTGAGACATCTAGACTCTAAGGACCTTAGGAGGTCCAGATATGAGGTTTCTAACCACAACCAGGTCTCATTCGACTCATAGATTCAAAAGAATGGAAGCAAAGCCCTAAATCTCCCAAAATGAGATCTAGTACAAGGAATGAACAAGATGAGAACTTTGTACCTTCTCTTAGCAGCTGAAACACTCAATACCACAGATCCATTGCCTTCCTTTGTTCCCCATCAAGAAGCTCTTCATCCTTCTCCATACAAATGCACCAAGAACCACAATATGAGCTTCTCTCACACTCTCTAGCTACAATAGCAAATAGGGTTTGCTCTCAGGGGAAGGTAGCCGCAATTGAGGCTATAAATGCCTTTAAATAGGTCCCAAACCCGGGAAATTAGGGTTTCTCTGCCCAACACCTACTCGACGAGTCCGTCCTCTGACTCGTCGAGTCCATTCATTAAATCCACGCGACAATCTCGACTCGACTCGGCGAGTTGGTACCTCAACTCGTCGAGTCCCTCCTTAAATCTCAAGATTAACATACACAATAATGTCCCTGAAAATCCGGATGTTACAATGAGACCCATTAGTTTCCCTATTGTTGAATCACCCTTTTGTGCATATTTCACCATGAGTGTACGGCCGTACACTCCATGGCCGTACACACCAAGTTGTGGCCATAAACACTTGCTAGGTACTTGTTATCCATTATAACACTTGAATCCTTGAATCCCTATGAAACAAGAACCAAAAATGCATCCATATTGGAGAGTTTACGGCCGTACACACTTCGTGTGGCCGTAAACTCAAGTGTGGCCGTGAACACACTTCTCTTGGCCGTACACTCCCCTTTGATCAATCACATGTGATTCTAACACTTAGTCCAAGTGTTTCCTAGTCCTTAAGGGTGTTTCCTTGCATGTTAGTTGCTTTTAAACACTAAATTCATGCCAATATATGCCATTATATGTCATTAGGACTCGTTTGTGTCTCGAGACTTCATTCGTGGAACTTCTCATCCTTACGCGCATATTCGTTTGAATCACCCACATAAGGTGAGTTCATACCCCTATAATCAATCTTTTAACTGTTTTAAATGGTTTTAAGGGGGGGGGGGAATACAAGTTGGAGACAATGATAATTGTGTAAATGTTTTGTTATAAACATCTTTTAAAGGATTGCTTATGTACTTATAAGTGATCAAAACATTTCAAAAACTCTTTTAAAGTTATGTTACTTTATAGTTTACAAAACTCCGTTTTTAAAGTACAATCATAACTTAGTAGATAAATGAGTCTTTTCTTCAAGTCAATAACAGTTCAAAGTAAAGATACTAGTAAACTATAATAGGTATAGTTTAGGGGTTCAGTTCACACTAGAACATACTATAAAGAGAAACAGGGAGGTAGATACAATACACGATAACATAGAGAACATACTATAAAGAGAAACAGGGAGGAAGATACTATACACTATAACAAAGAGAATATACAAT